TTTCCAACAATTTCTTTTCCATCGTCCAACTACAAAAAAATCGGCCATGGCTACAATCCATGTCACCAAATCAAACTCTAGAATCAAAGCCACTGACAAATGGGGAGTATTGAGCATTATAAAGTATGAGTCTGACAAAGTGGTAAACATAAGAGTTGTAGATCTTCGAGTAAGCTTTCTAACGGTTCAAGAATCATCCAAATCTGAGGTCTGTAGCTCAAGTTATTGTCAAGATATTGAAGCTTATTTTAGATCGTGCAACTAGATCTCTCAGATCGCGCACCCAGATCTTCAGCTTCAGATTGCACACCCAGATCTCCATGCTTTCTAATCAAGCAATGCTCTCAGATCAAGCTCTCTATGCTTTCTGATCTAGCTATGCTCTTAGATCAAGTTCTCCATGCTTTTTAATTGAGCTATGCTCTCATATCAAACTCTCCATGCTTTTTTATCGAGCTATACTCTCAGATCAAGCTCTCTATACTTTTTGATCGAGCTACGCTCTTAGATCAAACTCTCCCTACTTTCTGATCGAGTTATGCTCTCAGATCAAGCTCTTCGTGCTTTTTGATCGAGTTATGCTCTTAGATCAAGCTCTCTATGCTTTCTGATCGAGCTATGCTCTCAAATCAAGCTCTCTGAGCTTTTTGATCGAGCTATGCTCTCAGATAAGACTCTCCATGCTTTCTAATCAAGCTATGCTCTTAGATCAAACTCTCCATGCTTTCTGATCCAGCAATGCTCTCAAATCGAGCTCTCCAAGATTTCTGATCGAGCTATGCTATCAGATCAAGCTCTCCACACTTTCTGATCGAGCTATGATCTTAGATCAAACTCTACAAGTTTTCTGATGGAGCTATGCTCTTAGATCAAGCTTTTTATGCTTTTTGATCGAGCTATGCTCTCAGATCAAGTTTTCCAAGCTTTCTAATTAAGCAATGCTCTTAGATTAAGCTCTTCATGCTTTCTCATCGAGTTATGCTCTTAGATCAAGCTCTCTATGTTTTCTGATTGAGCTATGCTTTTAGATCAAGCTCTTCATGCTTTTTGATTGAGTTATGCTCTTAGATCAAGCTCTCCATGCTTTCTAATCGAGCAATGCTCTCAGATTAAGCTCTCTATACTGTTTGATTGAGCTATGCTCTTAGATTAAGCTCTCCATACTTTTTAATCGAGTTATGCTCTCATATTAAACTCTCCATACTTTCTGATCAAGCTATGCTCTTAGATCAAGTTCTCCATACTTTCTGATCGAGCTATGCTCTCAAATCAATATCTCCAAGCTTTCTGATCGAACAATGCTCTTAGATCAAGCTCTTAATGCTTTCTGATCGAGCTATGCTCTCAGATCAAGCTCTCCATACTTTCTGATCGAGCTATGCTCTCAGATCAAGCTCTCCATGCTTTATGATTAAGCAATGTTCTCAGATCAAGCTCTTCATGCTTTCTGATCGAGCTATGCTTTCAGATTAAGCTCTCCATGCTTTTGATCAAGCTCTCCATGCTTTATGATTAAGCAATGTTCTCAGATCAAGCTCTTCATGCTTTCTGATCGAGCTATGCTTTCAGATTAAGCTCTCCAAGCTTTCTAATCGAGCTATGCTCTCAGATCAAGCTCTTCATGCTTTTTGATCGAGAATGCTCTCAGATCAAGCTCTTCATGCTTTCGGATCGAGCTATGCTCTCAGATCAAGCTCTCTATGCTTTTTGATCGAGCTATGCTCTCAGATCAAGCTCTTTGTGCTTTCTAATCAAAATCCTCGCACTCTCAGATCGAGCTCTTTATGTTATCTGATCGATCTCTTTATGTTCTCAGATCAAGCTCTTTATGCTCTCTGATCGATCTCTTTATGTTTTCAGATCGAGCTCTTTATGCTCCCTGGTTAAGCTAATAAGCTCGCTCATTCGCTTGAGATCTCGTGTTCAAGATCTCTTAGATCGCGCCAGGCATAACTCAAGTTCTTCAGTTCAAGACTACAACCTATAGTGCGACAACCATCTAGATCAAAGACATGAGTTTTTTAAGCGCGATTACGCACTCCAAAAACTGGGGGGCTATTGTTGTGCGTGAAATTCGGAGAGGATAATTCCTTATTAGGAGAAAAGATATTTAGATTGGCCTAATTTGGAATAATGATATTCAGATTGACTTAGATTCCAATTAAGGTAGCCGAAGATCATGCAACTTCCTAATCCTACATATTTGAATCTTATCTCAACTCTATCATGTAACTGGGCGCTATATAAACCCATCATAACTTGTTTTCAGGGGGGGTCGGGCAATTGTTCTAAGCAAATTTTTCTAGTAATTATATTGTTATTTGTAAGCTCTAAAAAACAATAAGATAACAGTGGACGTAGGCTCAAGTTCTAACTTGTCGAACCACTTTAAAAATTTCTCTGTCATTTACTTTATTGCATTTATTATTCATCCACTGATGGTTATCTGTAATCACGAGCATATCCATTCCAGTTCCGACAGGATCAATCAGAATTCTCTGGTCGGTACAGATTTCTGTATCAACACATAATATTATTCAATAAATATAGAGTGACCTTACTCCTATTTATCTACAAAGTCGTATGACACTCTTATTGAGAAACTTCAAATAGTTAGTTAACATTATATTTTTTTATCATTAAAAGAAGATAAAAGAAATTTATTAATTAGAACTATTTATTATATAATAAGTAAAAAATGTCAATTTATTTTTATAAAAAGATAAGAAATTATCATTAACAATTTACTGTTATAAATTTCTTAATACATATACGTTAAGATGATCATATAGTAATTTATTGATAAAATAAAACATCTCTATAGTGATACTCTATATAGGAATAAACTTTATGTAGTCATAAAAAATTATGGTCTCAACTTGGGCCAGTTATAGATAAGAATAAATTTCACATTGTAATAAGTTATAATTTTTCTAGGTCTCGTCTTAAGGAATTTGCCTCTACATAATTATAATTATATGTATATTGTAAAAAATATATGCTATATTATATTAAAGGTTTAAGATAAAGTAAAATATTTATCTAAAGTTGTTTGAGACAATGATTTATGTTTTAGAGTTGTTACCATATCTTTTATCTTGCGGGTACGTAATAAGCCGTTAGCATGGACACCTTCTTGTTAAAGCCAAAATATTTCCAACTCTCAAGCATGTTTAGAGCTTCTTGCCATGAAATTTTTGTATTTTCATACTATCATCCTCGAGATTATCTCCTTCCTCTTCTTGTCTAATTTTAGTAATAATTTTTTCTTCAATTAAAATATACATGATTTGTTGCTCATTTGAATGATTAAAGAAGACATTAATATCTATCTAATTAGTGTAGTAAAATTGTCGGATCTGATCACTCAATTTTACAATGACTCTTTGATTTTCATTTCCGTACTATCTTAATGCTACTAAAACAATTAATTGAAATCTTAATACTACTAAAACATGAATTATAAAATAAGAAATCAAAACAATAATTCTTATAACTACACCTCTATTAAATTACAACCTCTTTATAGTAATAAATTTAATTGGTCCCAATATTATGACACTATAGAGAAGTTATAACGTATATTGTTTTATCAAGTAATATGTTTATAACTAACTTATTTAATAAAACTTTTTTTTCTGTTGACTAGAGGGTGTTTGGACTAGCTTATGTGTACTTCAATTAATTTTATGAGACTCTGGAACTACTGATCGGGTAAGAGCTTTAGTGGCTATTCATATTAACACTTACAAAAAGAATCAAATTTAAGATCTCTTGAATAATACACACAAGAGTTTCTATAGGACCGGCCATTAAGATAATTATTCAAAACCTCGGTTCATAATTCACACTTTTCTATTCATAACGCTTTCCTTGGGCGTTGATTCTTGAGGTATGAAATTTCCCAACTTGAATGAAGCAGCCAAAAATCAGCAGTATTTCAAGATGGGCATTGACTAGAGCTGAATGCCATGGTAATAGTCTAAATATAAAAATAGAAATTGCATTGAATTGAGCAAGTGGACAAATAAAAATGTAATTGTTTTTATACAGAGTGTCCAACAAGCATTTGGACACATGATATGACAGTTTACGTAGCACGATTTGCCAAGTTTTGTTAATCAATTAGTCTCCACCTCCAGTGACGGCATCGTCGGCATGGCATGAAAAGCTATGTCTCTCCAGCCCAGCAGACAAAATGATCGTTGAAAAGATTTGATATACAGAAATTAACCTTGTTTGCACGTCAAGTAAATTTGATGTTCTCATTTATATATGTATTGGGGCTTGCAGAAATGGTTATATGAGAACACTAGAACCGAGGATCAATCTGAAAACCCTTATGCTGCTTTTGAATTAAGAGGAATGTTAGTTAAAGTTTCAACTTCTCAGAGAAGATAAGATTACTCTCACTTTTTAGGTCTTTTTATTCCTTCTTCATTCACATGAATCGGTTTATGGATTTGGTTGGAATATTAGATTATACATGAAATTCAAGAATCAAGATTATAAAATGGATTATTCAAACTAATCATCTAACGCATTTCATTTTTATTTCGAAGGCGAAGGGGTTGGATGCTTCTACATCATTTGCATATCTCATGGAAGATCATAACGTGTAAACCTAGATAACTTATTAAGGATATGGAGAGTTGAAAAATGTTATATTGATGAAAAAATTAAGGATCAGTTTTCGAATAAGGTTTAACCACCACCATCGGGATTTTTTAATCAAGGTGTACAATGTGTATCCTATAATAGAATTAGAAAATTAAAAAAGTAATAATTCCAGGAAGGCCTCGCCTTTTGTCCCAGCTCCAGAAGAGTATTTTCACACGTCATTTGTCAAAGCTTAAAGTAAATGTGGACCCAATTCAATTGTATTTGTACATTCAGACTCTCTGTAAAAAGTATTGGGTCCTAGGGGGCCATTTCGGAATTATTTTGTCAACTGAATTATTAAATGGAAAAAGATCTCATCCTATATGTATGTATAAATTGAGCCATTCCATTTTGGAACCCCGTTGTCCTCCGTTTCTGTGCAAAAGAAAGCCAGAAGAAGCATCTCATCAGAAAACCAAACTATATACAATGCAAGAGCAATCCGTCATAATAGTGGGGTCTGGCCCCTCCGGCTTGGCCACCGCAGCCTGCCTTAACCAGCTTTCAATACCCTACATGATTCTTGAAAGAGAAGATTGTTACGCTTCTCTTTGGAAGAAATATGCCTATGATCGTCTTCATCTTCATTTGGCTAAACAATTCTGTCAACTTCCTCACTTGCCATTCCCGGCTTCTTATCCAAATTTAATACCTAAAAACCTATTCCTACAATACTTAGATGACTATGTTTCTCATTTTAACATTAGACCTTTGTATAAAAGATCTGTTGACTTTGCAACCTACAGTCAAGAAAGCCAGAAATGGACTGTTAAAGCTAGAAATACAGTTTCTGGTGAGATTGAAGAGTATTCTGGGAGGTTTTTAGTAGTGGCAAGTGGAGAAACAACGGACCCTTTTACACCAAATATTGAAGGAATGGATACTTTCACTGGAGAAGTTGTTCACTCAACTAGCTATAAAAACGGCAAGGCATATGGTGATAAGAGTGTTTTAGTTGTTGGGTCTGGTAATTCTGGCATGGAAATTGCACTAGACCTAGCTAACCATGGTGCCAAAACTTCCATAGTTGTTCGTAGTCCGGTAATTTAACATAGATCCATCTCTTGTTTATGTCATTTTAATTAATTAGTAAATATGATATAACATAATAATATATACTTGAATAACGTACGCAGGTTCACGTATTGACAAGAGAGATGGTATACTTGGGTTTGGTTATGTTGAAGTATATACCTTATGGCGTGGTGGACTCAATCATGGTGTTGCTTAGCAAGCTAGTATATGGAGACCTGAGCAAGTATGGCATAAATCGGCCAAAGGAGGGTCCATTTTTCATGAAAGTTGCATACGGAAAGTATCCAGTTTTTGATATCGGAACCTGTAAGAAGATCAAATCTGGGGAGATTCAAGTAAGTGATCCAGTTATAATTATTTTTTTGTAGGAGTAATTTGGTGTCTGAATAGTGGATAGAGTTTGCTTTCTGGTTAAGCGAAGGGACCTGACCCAGTTGGTGATGAGAACGACACTGGAAAATTCATAATATCTTCCTCAAATTAATTTATTGGTTTACGTGGTGTCATTTCCAGACGTTAAACACTAGCTCTTAGTTTTTGATAACTTGATCACAAGTTATTGAAGAATCTTTGTTACATAAATTGACGTTATTTATTGGTTATGACACTCCGTGTGCGTTAAACTTGTAATTAAATAGCAAGTGTAGGGATCCCAGGATTTTGAGGAGAAAAAGCCAAAAGGTGTTGTTTACGAGAAATTTTACAAAAATAGTGACGCGGTGTAATCATTCCAACTCAGTACCCATCTTTTGATCACAGTCGTTAACAGCCCCCTTCCTATATACACCATAGGTTAGAGACATGTGATTACAAGATATTTTGTAGAGATCCAGGACCACCAGACTTATCCTGTTGTTCTAAGTAAACAAAAACATTGTACATATGCGCAGGTCTTGCCGGCAATAGAAAACATTAGAGGCAATGAGGTGATATTTCAGAATGGAAAGTCACATCCTTTTGACACTATTGTACTTTGTACCGGCTTCAAGAGATCAACAAATACATGGCTTAAGGTAAAAACCAAAGTGAATATTTACCCACTTGTTCTATATTATTCTTAATATAAAAAGCTAATATTGTAATATTGTTGAGCAGGGGGATGAGCATCTATTGAACGATGACGGACTTCCAAAACCCAATTTCCCAAACCATTGGAAAGGAAAGAATGGTCTATTCTGCGTTGGATTGTCAAGGAGAGGACTGTATGGAGCTTCCGCAGATGCCCAAAACATAGCTAATGAAATTAAGTCACTTCTGTGAAAATCTCTCAAACTTACTTAGTATTGTGTGAACATCTCATTTGTTATACAAATATTTAAAGTTATTGAAATAAAAATCAGACATTTGTGTAATTATAAATTATTCTGCCTTTTACAAAAATGGTTGAAAGATATTCTGTTTCGCCAGTAGCTTCGCTGAAATGGTAGAGATTTTCCGAACTCGGTGATTGCTGTTCACTTAATAAAAATGTGCTAAATAATTGGATTTCTATTCTAATTAAAAGTTAAAACTAATGCGTAAAACTGCAGCGACTTTCTTACTGGTTAATGGTTACATAAAAACAAAAAAGGGTTATTGATATAACAACTAACTACTAGTCTTCGTATTCTAAATTCTAGGTAGATCCCACCTTCCAACTTCTCACCTCAAGTTCAAACTCAAGCTTAGAAAGCGAACAACAAACACCATGACTTGGGCTTCGCAATTTCCCAAAGCAGTGTACCTGCTTTTTGAGGCACCATGAAACCTGCCTCCTGCATTAATCTCTTAAACAAATCCCATGTTCTCTGCAATGCTAAACCCAACAGAATTGTCAGAAAACTCCCTAAATAATTGACTAAAGATTTAACAGAAATCTGGATTTACATTAATCCCAACTGGATTACAATATGAATAATTTAGCAATTTCATAATCGCACATCATTACATCAAATGCTTTCACAGATAATTCAGTGACCCTGCACACAATTATGCTCTCACTAATAAAAAGAATAGGTGTGGAAAATTGCTAGCCAGAAATTAAAAAAATCTGACCTCAGAAAGATTGAAAAAAATATATAAGCATGTGATAGTAAAAAAAAAAAAAACCCATTTTATGACCGTAAAAGAATCAGAAGCCCTGGCATTGCAATTTAAGGTGGTTTGCAAGCTCTACAGCTCTCACCATGCTTCCCCGCGTATGGCTGAAGTGAAATATTTTGGAGTGGCATCTCAAAATATAATAATTATGCCCAAAGGATTCCATCAAAACCAATTTCTAGATTTGAAACTGGGCTGTCGCCAAATTCCTGCTCCAGTGCCTGGTTGTCTCCATGCAAATCCACATATGGCTCCAACAGATCAGAAGATCTCTGAGATGGAATTCCATAATCTCTGAGAATACATGACGAAGCAGCAGTAGCTGCTTCTCTCTCCAATACAGCAACGTAATTTTCTTCGAACTCAAAAACTAGATACTTGTCCTTGCATGCTGGCCAACAACACAGCAACCATGAGAATAGAATTAGAAACAAGAAATAGTTAAAAAATGTTCCAACTTACAATCAACAAGGTGGGCTAGGTGGTGAATGTTTTTTATTCTTGTTCCATTGAACTTCAAAACCTACATTTCAGAGAGAAAAAATAAAATAAAAATTAGACTATGTCAAATCTGCAGTGGCTAGTTAAGTTTGTTAGTAGCAATAGACTCACCTGCTGATTGCTCATATCCTCGTATCCAATGTTTACTTCATTTGCTAAGACCTGCCAATGAAAAGCACAATGCAAAGAGAAACTTTCATACCAATCCGACAAAATAACATTCAGATTAAAACAGTCTGTTAAAGCAATGGCACATGAATGAGAAGAAAACATAACACTATTACCAAAGCGCAAGCGACTAAAATTTAAGTAGAATGAAAGATTCCAGCTAAAGTAGAGTCAAAATTTCAATATTCCATGAATAGCGTTTGGTGGAAAAGCGTGAAGCTTACCTGTGATAGGATCACAATTTGTTCCCCTTTGAACCTCGCTAAAGAGTACCGAGCCTTTGCTAGCAGTTTCAGCTAATCAGAAGAAAGACCAACTAATTAAATTTTAAACCATCTAGTCGCATGTTAATTTAGAATGAATACTGTACTTAAAAGGTTTTCCTCTGTAATTCACAACTTACCCCTATGGTGTCTTCGCATTCCTCCCTGTCAATATAGAGGAGAATGAAAATATATAATAATTAGTATTAATATTAATATTCTCACAGTAAAAAAGTTATATGTAGAATTGTATACAGCTAAGTTTGAGGAATCAAACATGTCATACTCTATCAGGGGTTCTGACAGTGGGGTAAACACCAAACCAGCGATGATTAGATAAGAAGGCTGGCCTCCATCAATATGGTAGGGAACCTTGAGGTCAGCGCATGAGAAATTCAACATAATTAGAATCTCCATAGAAAGCAAATGAAACTGACAGATATCACTTCCACATCATTTGGGATCATGCCAAGTTAGCGTCATACCAAATGCACTCGTGGATTTAAGACAACTTGAACTTTCATGAAAATCCCGCCTCTAATAATACCAACTTCTCCTACATCACCAGCAAATCTGTACAGCAGTGTCATTAGAAATAACGGCCACTACAAATTAGCCCTACATATAACAGATACAGAAGGATAGAAACCGTGGTGAAAGCATAAACATGCATGTCATGACTATAGTCTAGAGCAATAGTAATTAGAAAGTATGGTGATCATTCATAAGCAGCGCCAATCGTGAAAGAAAAATGCCAATTAAGAAGGGATTATACATAGCCTGAATATGACTACTGATGCTAGCCACAAGGCATACAAAATACCTCCTTAGCAGCACTGATTTTATTGACTTGATGTTAATTACTAAAGTTAATGTCTTTACAATCCCATAGAAACAATCAACCTTGAAGAGATATCCTTAAGGGAAAAATGGTGGGGCAGGCTAGGTTATAAAGTGAAGTCAGCATCCCAGACGTACACCATTACAGGTACCGGTATAGTTAGAATGCATAACATTTTTGTACAACCTAAATTGCAAGAAAATCAAATGCAGTTTTTAGATGAAAATTCTTGGAAGATAAGAGCCTTTACTTTTGACTAATGAGGTAGCGGAATGCAATGCGCTCATTTGAACGGAAGGGCACTGTTCCTTCACAACCTACACGAACATCGTCAAAACTTACAATCACGTCCCCCTGCGAAAAGAAAAAGTATTATCAAATTTTTTAACATATAAAAGACTCAAAATTCTATGAAAAAGCTCATAGCAGAAGCACTCAAATCTTAGGTTTTCCTTCTTAAATTCACATTATACTCCCACTCCACCTCACCATGCCAACCCCAACCCACCAAAATAATAATAATGATAATGGAAAAAGTATCTCAAATGGGTCACAGGAATACTCAAATGTATTAAATATATACAAGCTTACCAAATGTGACGAAATACAAGGTTCATCTCCAACATGGACCAGTGCATCACAAATTGAAGTTGCCCAGTTGAAGGCCAGTTTTTCTTATTTAACTTACCTTCTCTTCCATATGACAGCTTACTACTTTAGTTCTATTACCTTTTCCATAACAGCTTTACATGTGTTCAAAATAAACGAGATGGACACTAAACCAACTATATATTTAGCCATTTGAGAGCCCTTTAACATCTAAAAATGATCCAAACTCTCATGATTTTTTAAAAAGAAAGAATGAAATTTAAGTACAGCAGCTCCTGAAGCTACAAATAGCCAGCATACCTCCTTCAATACAGTATTTGCATCAGAAGTGGGTTCAACTCTCCTTACTAGCACACCCTGCATGAGAGATAATTTATGAGGGAATACCTAAGATAGCTGACTATTCAGTAGATAAAGGGACACAAGACATTTTAAAGATGATTTGTGCAGTTCAGAAAACACAGCACAGAGAACATAATCAACACACGTGTGCACACATACACACACCCAAAAAACAAACAAGAAAAAAAAATTGCTGAGAAGTTTATAGTAATATTTGTAGCAGATGAAATTTTTAGAAAAGTATGAAACAGATTTTTTATTAAGACAGGGTTACAAAAGGACACCTCAATAAGACATACCTCATTAGACTGTACTTTTAGGCATGCACGTAGTGCTGGATTTTCCAACTTCTGCAGCAGTACACCAAGGCAAGGGAAACCTAGAAATCAAAGTTGTCAAATACTTTTAGAGATTCAATGAATTGCCATCCTCAAGCTCGATTACAAGGTATGAAACACAACAGAGAGTTGAAGTGCCAATGACTAAATTATGATTTAATTCAAAAAAGTGATGGTAAGCAGAAATTTTGCTGACAGATTCAGGTATCCAGACAGTGAATTGCACAAATTTAAGGCAAGAAGAGAAACTCACCAGTGTATTTCCTATTCCTCTCATAGTCATTCAAAAAATGAGATACAACTGTAGTTGGAATCACATATCCAATATTTTCAACCTCTTCAGATCTGTAAACCTAAAGGAAGTGTCTTGTAAACACATGGTAGACAAACAATTTGGGATAAAAAAGAAATGCATGTAACAAAGTGTGATCTTTGCAGAAGCAAGAGCAAAAGATAAAGAGTATCATGAGCAGTAAAAAACAAGAAGATTGGTGGAATTAAAAACCATGCTTCAATATGAAGAAGGAAGCTAATGTAATAAATAATATACAATAAGAATAAATAAAAAGAAAATTATTCACATATTTTTTCATACACCAGGAAATTTCAGCTAGGTAAACCTTGTTGTGCTAAAGTGGACTGGATTGAAGCAGTGAACTGGATTGACACAGCAGTATATATACATTCAATACAATAGATAGAAGAATGTACTAGATGCACATTTTCAGTTACAGTGGGCCAGAAATCTACCTGAAATGCCACCCCAATGCACTCGCCCTGATCATTGAATGCAGGACCACCGCTATTACCTAAAATCTAGCAAGTATAAGCAGTGGCTATCACAATGATATAGAATAATGCCTTAACAAAAGAAAAAGAGGAGGAGAAGAAGGGGGGTGGTGATGTTTGAAAGAGTAGTGATAAGGCAGATAAAAACAAGCCGGTTCCATGAAGAAAGTTTGTCAGCTACCAAAAAGAGGTTCAAATATACAAATTTCTACTGACCAGGATTTATTGCCGCATCAATTTGAATGCCCAACAAATCGGATGACCCATGAGCGTATGATGTGACCTGAAGAATTAACATTAGAGAAATTAAACACCGTTAATTGTTTAACAACATGCTGGGTCAAAGAAATAGCTAATGGAATCAAAGATGCAAGGGCAGAACAAAAATGGACTAACCATCATATAATTTCACATTGATGGGG